TTACTTTTTGCACTTTTGTGACGCTTTTTGTTTCTCCGGGGAGCCTCAACTCTGCCTCCTGGCACATGCCTGAACCCTTCCTGACCTCTGCTTGCTTTCTGGCTGCTTTCTATAAGATAGTGGATGGGCTTGGTGGTGGGCCACTCGTAGCTATGCATGCTCCTCCGGCCCCCATGTGACAGTGCTTGGGCTTGGTGGTGGGCCACTCATAGCTATACATGCTCCTCCGGCCCCCATGTGACAGTGCCTGGGCTTGGTGGTGGGTCACTCATAGCTATGCATGCTCCTCCTGCCCCCATGTGACAGTGCCTGGGCTTGGTGGTGGGTCACTCATAGCTATGCATGCTCCTCCTGCCCCCATGTGACAGTGCCTGGGCTTGGTGGTGGGCCACTCATAGCTATACATGCTCCTCCGGCCCCCATGTGACAGTGCCTGGGCTTGGTGGTGGGTCACTCATAGCTATGCATGCTCCTCCGGCCCCCATGTGACAGTTCTTGGGCTTGGTGGTGGGTCACTCATAGCTATGCATGCTCCTCCTGCCCCCATGTGACAGTGCCTGGGCTTGGTGGTTGTGCCACTCATAGCTATGCATGCTCCTCCGGCCCCCATGTGACAGTGCCTGGGCTTGGTGGTGGGCCACTCATAGCAATGCATGCTCCTCCGGCCCCCATGTGACAGTGCCTGGGCTTGGTGGTGGGCCTCTCATAGCTATGCATGCTCCTCCGGCCCCCATGTGACAGTGCCTGGGCTTGGTGGTGGGCCACCCATAGCTATGCATGCTCCTCCGGCCCCCATGTGACAGTGCCTGGGCTTGGTGGTTGTGCCACTCATAGCTATGCATGCTCCTCCGGCCCCCATGTGACAGTGCCTGGGCTTGGTGGTGGGCCACTCATAGCTATGCATGCTCCGCCGGCCCCCATGTGACAGTGCCTGGGCTTGGTGGTGGGCCACTCATAGCAATGCATGCTCCTCCGGCCCCCATGTGACAGTGCCTGGGCTTGGTGGTAGGCCACTCGTAGCTATGCATGCTCCTCCGGCCCCCATGTGACAGTGCCTGGCCTTGGTGGTTGGCCTCTCATAGCTATGCATGCTCCTCCGGCCCCCATGTGACAGTGCCTGGGCTTGGTGGTGGGCCACTCATAGCTATGCATGCTCCTCCGGCCCCCATGTGACAATGCCTGGGCTTGGTGGTGGGCCACTCATAGCCATGCATGCTTCCTCCACCCTCCAGGTGAAAGTGCCTGGCCTTGATGGTGGGCCACTCATAGCCATGCATGCTTCCTCCACCCTCCAGGTGAAAGTGCCAGGGCTTCATTGCTGGTTACTCCTAGCTATGCACATTCCTCTACCCCCCTGTATCAGTGCCTGGAGTTGGCAATTGTCCACCAATAGCTATGCACACTCTACTCACCCCCACTTGACAGCACCTGGGCTTGCCGTACGACCACTTGGAGTATGCATGCTCCCTTCCCCCTCACATGACAGCCCCCGGGCTTGGCTTGTAGTCACCGAGCACTGCGCGGGGAGACAGGGAGTGTCACATACTCCACCATACTGGAAGCAGCAAATATTTTTTTTGCAGGCTGGCAGAGCATTAACTTGGCGGGGTAACGAATGGAAAGTATGTATCGGTTTTTTTTTTTTTTTATACTCCATACAATAATGTGACCCTGATGTCTGGAATTTAATAAAAAGCCGTACAGGTGATCCTACACAGAACAATTTAATAACAAGCTTAGCCGACGTGTATTGAATGGAGTCAGCGGAAGGCTCTCCTACGGGCCTGGAGTTATTTTTAAAGTGGGAGCTTCTCTCGTCCTCGCAGGAAATCCCTCAGCAGCCGATCATATCCTCTCTAATATTAATATGCTGAAATAGGCCTGCAGCCTCTGGAGAGCCGCTGGTTGCTGCGAGACTTTGGTGGAGCGTTGCCGTATCCGGCTGTCCAGCCAAAGCTCACCGGGCGCCTTCCTTAATAACAACCCCAGGCAATCCTACCTATAAATACGCCAATTCGCTCTTCAGCTGTCAACACGTATTGGGATTGCTCGGCAGTGCTGGTGAGGATCTCTCTACACCTGTGTATGTAGACTGAACTCAATGAAGATATAAAGAAACACCATTGAATGCAGTCCTTAAAATAATTCACTCACGGCTAGCATGAGTACCTAAATCTTCGTATTAGCCTCCTGTCATCTCAAGTAGAGTAATGCAGGCCATACATGGTTCGAATTCTGAATGATTTTTTCGATCGAAAATCAAAAATGTTCGCTCGGTGAGATCAAACATAGTCTCTCTGTCTTCTCGCAGGTCCTCAAGGGTAGGTCCTCCTTCATTGCCAAACACAAAATGATCTGTAAGGCTCTCCCACAGCAATCCAGGGCCACCAAAGTCATGTCCCTCCGGAGAGCATTCTGTTGTTACCCCTAAATATTCCTGCTCTGCGTACCATTGCAGAGCCTGATGTCGGTTGTCCAGCTCTATCTCCTGCTGGACCAGCCTGTCCAACTCAGTCACCCATTGCTCCTGGGGTCGCTGTCCCAGGAATGGCATCCGTAACTTCCGATGGTCTCTGGCCCGTTCCCCTGGGGTTGGATAGCACTTGCCCTTGTACATACCAGCAACCTGGAGGGCTCCACTTCCCAGCACCTCCCAAATCCGTTGCCTGAGCTCCAGGTACTCATCCAGAGACACAGTCCTGGGGTATGCTGCAAGAACGATCCACAGCAGCCCTGGGAACTCTGATGCCAGGTCCATATATCTCCACTGGGGTGACCGACGTCTACTTTCATGATCTTGGATCCCGGTGGTGGTTTGGACATGTTCACAGCCAGGAAGCACAATCCCACCGCTGCCACCAATGTAACGGAACCGACCCCGACTGCACTCGGGTATTTCCGTTAGACTCCCGCTTCCCTGTCCAAACACTGACCACGGACCCCACCGCTGACCATACAAGACTAGAGACCACCAGACTTGAAGGAAACCAGGAAATAGACTACTTTATTTTAACACAGACACAAGATATAAACATTCAAGGGAACAACCCCCCCCCCCTGCATATGGATGCAGGGCGGGGCAAACCAAATCTAGCAACAAGAGACACATCGGCAGACACCCCCACCAAGCCAATACATAAACACAAACATCCCATAATAGTTTGCTCCCAAGCAAGACACACAATAGAACAATGGGACACACCACATGGCATTAAACAATCCACAACCCCCCCCCCCTACCTATACATGTCTACACAATATCAGAACATTCCACCCCGTACCCCTAACAGGCACAGGGTGACTTACACATAGGAGGGATATGGGGAGCTGAGACAGGGGTCTCCCCACCCCTCCAAAGGGGGCTGTGTTCCATGGCCCCCCACCCACAGTGACTCCCATCACACTCGGTAATCCAATGGCGCCATCATTGATTTAGAAAATCAGCTGATCAAGTCATAAAGCTTACCCCATATAACGGGCGAAACTTCTGTTCCTTCCAGGTCACAGCTCATGCGCATATTCTATTCAGAAAAACGATCTTACGATTTGACCGTCATTGAATCGAAAATCGGTCATTTTTCACAAATTTTCTAACATGCTCGATCACCGAAAAGGGTAGGAACCATGGAAATCGGCCGGTGGCATTGACCACACTAACAGAGTGAAAATCGGTGGAAGGAAAGAAACTTGCATGATTTCCCCATCAATGTGTCATTAGTGTTGATGAGTGGAATCCCTCCTGCTGCGCCATTGTGTTCTTCCAGTGGGGGAACCTTCCCTGCCAGCAGAGCACAATGATCACTGAGGGCTGGCTATAGCCACCAGCAGTGAGCACATAAGAAAAAAATCAGACAGGCTGGTTGTATGTAAAAAAATGTGCTGCACTATGACAGAAAGCAAATAAATAAATACAAAATATCATAAAAACAAAGTCGCAAATTCATAAATAAATAGTCCCAAAGTTGAAAAAAAGGTTATAAGTGTCCAAAAACCAAAAGAAAGACCACATCCAAAGTCGAGCTGATTGAAGTAAGGATATCCTGAAAAAATTAGAAAGGGCCTCCACAGAATCGCATCTCTCTGTGCAGGACAGTCAAGTTCCTCCACCCCAAACTGGCTCCTACATCTCTTTATGAACCTTGCTTTGTGCACTGGTGGGGAGTCATGTTGGAGCAGGGAGGGGCCATCCCCAAACTCTTTCCACACAGTTGGGAAAATGAAATTGTCCAAAATGTTGCCTTAAGAGTCCTCTTCACTGGAACTAGGGGGCCAAGCCCACCCCTTGAAAAATAACCCCACACCATAATCCCCCCCTCCACCAAACTTTACACTTGGCACAATGCAGTCAGGCAAGTACCGTTCTCCTGGCCACCGCCAAACCCAGACACGTCCATCAGATTGCCAGACAGAGAAGCGTGATTGATCACTCCAGAGAACACGTCTCCTCTGCTCTAGAGTCCAGTGGCGGCTTGGATGCAGCTGCTCGGCCATGGAAACCCATTCCATGAAGCTCTCTACGCACTGTTGTTGGGCTCATCTGAAGGCCACACCAAGTTTGGAGGTCTTTAGCTATTGACTCTGCAGACAGTTGGCGACTTCTGCGCACTGTGCGCTTCAGCATGCGCTGACCCCGCCCTGTCATGTGACGTGGCCTACCACTTGGTGGCTGAGTGGCTGTTGTTCCCAGTGGCTTCCACTTTGTTATAATCCCACTAACAGTTGAGCGTGGAATATTTAGTAGCCAGGAAATGTCACGGATGGACTTATTGCACAGGTGGCCACCTATCACGGGACCACGCTTGGAGTCACTGAGCTCCTGAGAGCGACCCATTCTTTCACCAATGTTTGTAGAAGCCGTCTGCATGCCTAGGGGCTTGATTGTATACACCTGTGTCCATGGGGGGGATTGGAGCACCTGAATCACATGATATGGAGGGGATTGGAACACCTGAATCACATGATATGGAGGGGATTGGAACACCTGAATCACATGATTTGGAGGGGATTGGAACACCCGGATCACATGATATGGAGGGTATTGGAACACCTGAATCACATGATATGGAGGGGATTGGAACACCTAAATCACATGATTTGGAGGGGATTGGAACCCCTGAATCACATGATATGGAGGGGATTGGAACACCTGAATCACATGATATGGAGGGATTGGAACACCTGAATCACATGACTGGGAGGGGATTGGAACACCTGAATCACATGATATGGAGGGGATTGGAACACCTGAATCACATGATATGGAGAGGATTGGAACACCTGAATCACATGATATGGAGGGGATTGGAACACATGAATCACATGATTGGGAGGTGATTAGAACACCTGAATCACATGATATGGAGGGGATTGGAACACCTGAATCACATGATTGGGAGGGGATTGGAACACCTGAATCACATGATATGGAGGGGATTGGAACACCTGAATCACATGATATGGAGGGGATTGGAACACATGAATCACATGATTGGGAGGTGATTAGAACACCTAAATCACATGATATAGAGGGGATTGGAACACCTGAATCACATGATTGGGAGGGGATTGGAACACCTGAATCACATGATATGGAGGGGATTGGAACACCTGAATCACATGATTGGGAGGGGATTGGAACACCTGAATCACATGATTGGGAGGGGATTGGAACACCTGAATCACATGATATGGAGGCGATTGGAACACCTGAATCACATGATATGGAGGGGATTGGAACACCTGAATCCAAGGATTTGTAGGGCGGGGACAGTACGTTCGGCAATATAGTGTATGTAGAAGTATGAGTAGCCAATAAGGTGTGACATTTGGTCTTGTCTCAGATTTCTTGCCCCGTGTTCATGCGATCTTTGAACCATCAAATACATGATACAGAAGTGAGACGATTGGCTCTGCTGCACCTTTCTAGGCACTGATTGGTATATGTTGGCGTCAGCTGGATCCATGGCCACTGGCTGTATGCTAGTTCCGGGGCAGTGAAGGTGACCCCCCCCCCCCCCCCTCAGGAAAGACATAATTCTCACTTTCCAAACGTTTAAATGAAAGAATTATTGTTAATGTATCATCTCCAAGTTGCGACTTTCATCCAATAATTCCGCGAAGCTCCCCGTCCAGCGCAATCGCTTCCTGTTCCATCAACCTGAAGACATTGGTCACACGCTTTGCTTGCTGGAAGATCTGATTAGTAAAACGGAAATTGAGCAAAAGATGTCAGATCCAATTAAAGGGTCGAGGAGGTCACAAGCACCATCACACCTGCCATGGCAGCGGAGGGTCAAAGGTCGCCCATACCGAGGTCGACCCGTCCATGCAGTTTACACAAATAATTTATTGTAGAAGAATTTATGATGGAAGACGTCAGTTGTGGACGTCCAGCTGTGACAGGCGGCCTTAATATTTCATGCAATTCCCAGAAGAGTTGTGCTGGGTGAAGGCTGCACAGCATTACTGATGGATGGGGGTCTGCAGGTCGGCCCATACGGGGCGCTCTGTACGATGTCAAATGTGCATTAAATAATCTGCACACAAGATCCGGGTTTAATATGCAGAAAAATCTGTAAATTGCTGGGAGGCTTCTGGGGAAGAAAACGTGACTTTGTGTGTTCTGGAGCAACCAGATTCTGGCTGTTGGGTGACAATGGAGACGAGAGGGGTCAGTGCAGGGAGAGGAGAGGGGTCAGTGCAGGGAGAGGAGAGGGGTCAGTGCGGGAGACGAGAGGGGTCAGTGCAGGGAGAGGAGAGGGGTCAGTGCAGGGAGAGGAGAGGGGTCAGTGCTGGGAGATGAGAGGGGTCAGTGCGGGGAGATGAGAGGGGTCAGTGCGGGAGACGAGAGGGGTCAGTGCAGGGAGACGAGAGGGGTCAGTGCAGGAGACGAGAGGGGTCAGTGAGGGGAGACGAGAGGGGTCAGTGCGGGGAGATGAGAGGGGTCAGTGCAGGAGATGAGAGGGGTCAGAGGAGAGGGGCAGTGCAGGGAGATGAGAGGGGTCGGTGCGGGAGATGAGAGGGTTCAGTGCAGGGAGATGAGAGGGTTCAGTGCGGGGAGATGAGAGGGGTCAGTGTGGGGAGACGAGAGGGGTCAGTGCGGGGAGACGAGAGGGGTCAGTGCGGGGAGATGAGAGGGGTCAGTGTGGGAGATGAGAGGGGTCAGTGCGGGGAGACGAGAGGGGTCAGTGCAGGAGATGAGAGGGGTCAGTGCGGGGAGATGAGAGGGGTCAGTGCGGGGAGATGAGAAGGTTCAGTGCAGGGAGATGAGAGCGGTCAGAGGAGAGGGGCCAGGGCAGGGAGAGGAGAGGGGTCAGTGCGGGAGATGAGAGGGGTCAGTGCAGGAGATGAGAGGGGTCAGTGCAGGGAGACGAGAGGGGTCAGTGCAGGAGATGAGAGGGGTCAGTGCGGGGAGATGAGAGGGGTCAGTGCGGGGAGATGAGAGAGGTCAGAGGAGAGGGGCCAGGGCAGGGAGAGGAGAGGGGTCAGTGCGGGAGATGAGAGGGGTCAGTGCAGGAGATGAGAGGGGTCAGTGCAGGAGATGAGAGGGGTCAGTGCAGGAGACGAGAGGGGTCAGTGCAGGAGACGAGAGGGGTCAGTGCGGGGAGATGAGAGGGTTCAGTGCGGGGAGATGAGAGCGGTCAGAGGAGGGGGGCCAGGGCAGGGAGAGGAGAGGGGTCAGTGCGGGAGATGAGAGGGGTCAGTGGGGGAGATGAGCGGGGTTGCTGCGGGAGATGAGAGGGGTCAGTGTGGGAGATGATTGGGGTCAGTACGGGAGATGAGAGGGGTCAGTGTGGGAGATGAGAGGGGTCCATGTGGGAGATGAGTGGGGGTGCTGCGGGAGATGAAAGGGGTCAGTGTGGGAGATGAGAGGGGTCAGTGTGGGAGATGAGAGGGGTCAGTACGGGAGATGAGAGGGGTCCATGTGGGAGATGAGCGGGGGTGCTGTGGGGAGATGAAAGGGGTCAGTACGGGAGATGAGAGGGGTTAGTGGGGGAGATGAGAGGGGTCAGTGTGGGAGATGAGAGGGGTCAGTGTGGGAGATGAGAGGGGTCCATGTGGGAGATGAGCGGGGGTGCTGTGGGAGATGAAAGGGGTCAGTACGGGAGATGAGAGGGGTTAGTGGGGGAGATGAGAGGGGTCAGTACGGGAGATGAGAGGGGTCAGTGCGGGAGATGGACTAGTCACTAAGGACTAAAGATCACCTCCCCCTTGCAACAGAGAAGAGAAGGAGGTGTTTCCTCAGTCTTGTCCTAGGGTGACTACAATGCTTCTCCATCAGTGCAGTGAGTGAGCGTTGTCACCCAAGGACAGGAGGTGTGTTACTGCCAGGATCACTAAATAAGAATAAAAGAAAACTCTTTGTGAAAACTAATGCAGCCACATCTGTGCCTTATTGAAGAGTTAAGCTGCCTGTGGATGGTGCCAAGTCAGCAAGTGACCAAACAGTCCAGACAGACTGGGTCTGAGGAGGTATGACAGTGCATTTGAAGCAGAACAATGACGTTTTTTTGGTTGGGTTTCGGGATGCCATGTGTGGCAGGCTGTGGGTACCGCCGTAACTTCGGGATTTGTCAGAATCCTCCCCTGATTGGCTGCCTGTCTTGAAGTCCAATAATTGACATGAAATAGTGGCATCCCTGGGTCCCCTATGCCGGGTTCATTATCTATGCACTTTGCATGCAGGATGCGGGGGATGTGCTGTTCTTGGATCACAGCTCTGGGAACCCTCCCATTGATGAAGACCGATTCCCACAATCCACATTTTGAAGGATTTCACGAGGGAGCGGAGTTTTGCCTTAAGCCTGCCCGCCAGAGCCGTCTATCACCAAATCTCAAATCCCAGGCAGGTACGCAGATGGAGGTCATCATCGTGTCAAGTCAGCGTTCCCTCACCGCTGTCCCCTTCCGATGAAATATTTGGGGCCCCCCCACCCCCCGGGGGATAGAGAGACGTTAACGAGGGTGTTTATTAATCAGAGGGGGGAACGTTCATCATCGCAGCCTGACGTGTGAATGTGCCACTCCTGACTGCAAGGCGGCAGATTGATTGAGAACGCGGCTGATGGATGGCAGCGCCGCGCCAGACGTATGCCGCATTCTTTCTTTTCCCTCTCCTGCCGCCGTTAGTCTGGCCGCGAGGGGTTAATCCGATCCGCGCAGTTTAGAGCGCAATATTTTATCCGTAATCGCTACTTCTTGTAATAAATGATACATCGGATGCAGATAGACGGCGGATTGAAGGAGACTGTGCCGAGACCCGCTGCCGCTGGGTTTGTCTTTGAAAATGTTAGGTGCCTGGCTGGATCCAGTGCTTTGTGGGAAACAAGCATGCAGCCAGTGAAGTCTGATGAGACGTTGTTTTGTCCTCTTAAATATCGGAGTTAATGCGCTTAAAACTCTGCCACTTTGAGCCCCGGGTTCACATTGGCGCGGTGCGGAATTTGCAGTGTTTTCTGTGTGAATTCCGCACCGCATCAGAATCGCACCCCATTCCTGTGTATGCTAACAACACCCCGAAATCGGTCCACAAAATGCGGTGCGATGTACAGAATCGGATCACATAGGTGTGAATACCCATGTGATCCGATTCTAGTGCGGACCCAAAAAAGGGTCCTGCGTGTTTTTGGTGGGGTGCGATTAGAGCCATATATAATATACGACTCGGAACGCAGCGCACAGAATTCGCAATTGATTTTCAGGGACTGCGGCGAGGTTCCTGTGTGAGTCGCATGCAATATGCCACGCCGCATATGTGTGAACCCACCCACATGGAAGAAAAATATATTTTAAATATATTTTTTAAATATTCTTCCCAAATATATTGACACATATTTTAAATACTACAATTTTGGCCGTATTCAATATATTTAAAAAAAAAATATATATATATATATACAGTGAGGAACAGAAGTATTTGAACAACCTGCGATTTTGCAAGTTCTCCCACTTAGAAATCATGGAGGGTCTGAAATTCACATTGTAGGTGCATTCCCACGAATTAAAAAAAAAAAATTCAGGAAATCACATTGCAGGGGATTCCCACTCTGAGGACAGAATTCAGGAAATCACATTGTAGGGGATTCCCACTCTGAGGACAGAATTCAGGAGATCACATTGTATGATTTGTAAAGAATGTATTTGTCTCGCACGGCTGAACAGAAGTATTTGAACCCCTAAGAAACAGCAAGAATTCTGGCTCTCAGAGACCTGTTACTGCGCCTTTACAAAGTCCCCCTCTACTCCCCTCATTCATCTCACTTAGTAGCTCCTGTCTGAGCTCTTTAAAGACACCTGTCCACCCCACAGTCAGTCAGACGCCAACTACTACCATGGGCAAGACCAAAGAGCTGTCAAAAGACACCAGAGACAAAATTGTGGTCCTCCACAAGGCTGGAAAGGGCTACGGGGCAATTGCCAAGCAGCTCGGTGAAAATAGATCAACCGTTGGAGCAATTGTTAGAAAATGGAAGAGGCTGAAGACGACTGTCAGTCTCCCTCGGACTGGGGCTCCATGCAAGATGTCCCCTCGTGGGGTCACTGATGATAAGAAAGGTGAGGAATCAGCCCAGAACTACAAGGGAGGAGCTGGTCAATGACATGAAGAGAGCTGGGACCACAGTTTCACAGGCCACTGTCGGAGGAACACTACGCCGTCATGGTTTCCAATCATGCATTGCACGGAAGGTTCCCCTGCTCAAGTCATCACATGTCCAGGTCCGTCTGAAGGTTCCCCTGCTCCAGTCATCACATGTCCAGGCTCGTCTGAAGGTTCCCCTGCTCCAGTCATCACATGTCCAGGCTCGTCTGAAGGTTCCCCTGCTCCAGTCATCACATGTCCAGGCCCGTCTGAAGGTTCCCCTGCTCAAGTCATCACATGTCCAGGCCCGTCTGAAGGTTCCCCTGCTCCAGTCATCACATGTCCAGGCCCGTCTGAAGGTTCCCCTGCTCCAGTCATCACATGTCCAGGCCCGTCTGAAGGTTCCCAATGACCATCTGGATGATCCAGAGGAGGCATGGGAGAAAGTCATGTGGTCAGAGGAGACCAAAGTAGAACTTTTTGGTCTAAACTTCACTTGTTGTGTTTGGAGGAAAAAGAAGGATGAGCTGCATCCCAAGAACACCATCCCTACTGTGAAGCATGGCGGTGGTAACATCATGCTTTGGGGGTGCTTTTCTGCAAAGGAGACAGGACGACTGCACTGTATTAAGGAGAGGATGAATGGGGCCATTTATTGTGAGATTTTCAGCAACAACCTCCTTCCCTCAGTCAGAGCATTGAAGACGGGTCGTGGCTGGGTCCTCCAACATGACAACGACCCGAAGCACACAGCCAGGAGAACCAAGGAGTGGCTCCGTAAGAAGCATATCAAGGTTCTGGAGTGGCCTAGCCAGTCTCCAGACCTAAATCCAATAGAACATCTTTGGAGGTAGCTGAAACTCCGTGTTGCTCAGCGACAGCCCCGAAACCTGACAGATCTAGAGGAGATCGGTGTGGGGGAGGGGGCCAAAATCCCTGTTGCAGTGCAAACCTGGCCAAGGACTACAGGAACCGTCTGACCTCTGTAATTGCAGACAAAGGCTTCTGGACCAAGTATTAACACGGATCTTCTCAGGGGTTCAAATACTTCTGTTCAGCCGTGCGAGACAAATACATTCTTTACAAATCATACAATGTGATCTCCTGAATTCTGTCCTCAGAGTGGGAATCCCCTGCAATGTGAATGTCAGACCCTCCATGATGGAGAAGTGGGAGAACTTGCAGAATGTCAGGGGGTTCAAATACTTCTGTTCCTCACTGTATATATATATATTTATTTATTTATTCTTTGCATGTTGAAATGCATTTTTATATAATACAAAATATATGAAAAATATTTCTACAAATATATTTTTTGAAAGTATATTCTTCAGATTTTTTTTAACATGTAAAAAAAGTCATTTTAACATATATTTTTACGTATATTTGTAAATGCGTTCCAAAAATGTAGATTTGTATTTTTAAAGACCTACAGTATATTTGAAATGGATTTTTAAAAATATTTTTCATAGATTTTGTAATAAAAATGCATTTCAACATACAGTATATATATATATATTTTATCTCTCTCTATATATATATTTTTTTTATTGAAATATATTTTGAAATATGTTGAATATGGCCAAAATTTTAGTTTTTCAAATATATGTCAATATATTTGGGAAGAATTTCAAATATATTTTCTTCCATGTGGGTTGGCAGAAGGCGGCAGTGCCTGGGATGTTTCCATGTATGTAAAAAGGATAAAATGTAGTCATGTAGTCAGGCTGATGTGCGCTCCGGTGATGGTTCTGTGGCATTTACCATGACGGGTTTGCTGACAGCAGTAGACCGTGCCTGCATCACGTGTTAAAATCCCCTCTTGTGGCCTCCATCGAAGGCGGCTGGCAGGGTGACAACCTGGGAACAAAATTGTGAGACAGAGACAAAGCGTTGTCACCCTATAACAGGAAGTTCCTGAACATGGACCCTCGTGGCAGGATCACCAGGCATTATTTCAATAAAATCTGCCAATCCAAAAATATGTAAAATGAGTTTTAAAATGGCATGGACATAATCAGGGGCAGACTGACAACTCATGGGGCCCCCGGGGCAATAGGGGATCATGGGGCCCCTGTGTCCTCATTCACACTCAAACCACACCCAAAAAAGCCAATGAAAGATACTAGGGGCATCTCATGGGGCCCCCTACTGACCCTGGGCCCTCAGGCAGTGCCCGAGAGCCCAAATGGTCAGACCGCCCCTGGACATGTTACGGATCATGAGATTTTTGGGTTTTACGTGGCCCTGTAGGAGCCAAACAGAAGTCTTCATTCATTGTGGCCCGGTGTGTGTCAGCCGACGTCCACGGCTCACCACGGCGGGAGCTCTCCATTGCCGAGTAATAGATCGCCTGAAGTCACGCACTCGCTTTTGCCTGCGAGCTCAGCCTGAGGGGTTATCGAATGTGAAACCGGAACTTTTTTTTTTTTTTTTGGCATGCTCTACTTGAGAAAGTTTGTCTTTAGAATTTTTTTTTTTTTTGTACTTTTCACAAAACTTTGCGTTTTTATCCCCTTTAAGGAAGGTTGGAGTCCGTTCCCAAGGGAAGCGCGTCAGCCTCCAGTGCCATCCGATCCTCGCGCGCTCTGCCCAGCTCTGACCGGTTTGAGGTCATAGTTCCGGGTGGAATCGAAGTGCCGGCATTGACTCCCTGAGAATCGATCGCCGTCTCCCCTGCGCCCCCTAGACGCGGCGTCTCCTCCGTGGCCCCCGATATATTAACCGCTTCCTAAAACGGGGCGCGCGGTGTGAGAATGACTCCGCTATCGATCCCGCCGGGAGCGCGGGGGCACTATTTTTTCCCTTCCCGATGAGCGTGCCGACATAACCTGCAGACCTGCTAATTATCTTCCTAAATAGACTGTGCCATTAAAACCGCAGGGAAAGAGAGTCGCAGAGAGGAGCTCGGCTTTCCGAGTGCGTCCCCTGGAGCCTTCACGAGTGACAGTCTCTTTGTTTTGGACGGGGACAAGGTCAGATTGGGGAGATAAGAAACTTTATTGGAGAGCGGCACCTGCAGAGCGCACGAGGGCCCTCGCCGATCAAAGTGTATTCTGGATGAAGCGTCTGTAGGGCCTCAAAGACGCCGTCACGTTCAACGCTGCCCTTGAAGATGACAGAGAGGATCAGTGCCAATCAAGATGTTGTAGACGCTCCTTTAGATGATGTCGGGGGTTCCGGTGCCAGTATGTCCCGGGCAGGTCTGCAAAACAGTGAGGAATAGGAAAATGAGGGGTTACATTACATAAGGGAGGGTTTTTTTTGGGGGGGGGTTTGTTTTGGGGTTACAGGGTGGTTGAGTGTTAGGGTTACAGAATGGGTTAGTGTTGGGGCTGCAGGGAGGGTTATTGTTGGGGTTACAGAATGGGATAGTGTTGGGGTTACAGGGAGGGTTGGTGTTGGGGTTACAGGATAGGGTAGCGTTGGGGTTGCAAGATGGGTCAGTGTTGGGGTTACAGGGAGGATTAGTGTTGGGATTACAGGGAGGATTAGTGTTGGGATTACAGGGAGGGATAGTGTTGGGGTTACAGGGAGGGTCAGTGTTGGGGTTACAGGAAGGCTTAGAGTTGTGGTTCTAAGAAGGGTTAGTGTTGGGGTTCCAGGGAGAGTCAGTGTTGGGGTTCCAGGGAGAGTCAGTGTTGGGGTTACAGGAAGGGTTAGTATTGGGGTTGCCGGGAGAGTCAGTGTTGGTGTTACAGGAAGCGTTAGTGTTGGGGTTACAGGGAAGGTTGGTGTTGTTGGGGTTACAGGAAGGGTTAGTGTTGGGGTTACAGGGAAGATTAGTGTTGGGGTTCCAAGAAGGATTAGTGTTGGGGTTACAGGGAGGGTTGGTGTTGGGGTTACAGGGAGGGTTAGTGTTGGGGTTACAGGGAGGGTTGGTGTTTGGGGTTACAGGGAGGGTTAGTGTTGGGGTTACAGTAAGGGATAGTGTTGGAGTTCCAAGAAGGATCAGTTTTGAGGTTACAGGGAAGGTTGGTGTTGGGGTCACAGGAATGGTTAGTGTTGGAGATCCAGGATAGGTTATAGGAAGGGATAGTGTAATATTTATAGGAAGGATCAGTGTTGGGGTTACAGGGAAGGTTGGTGTTGGGGTCACAGGAATGGTTAGTTTTGGGGTTACAGGATAGGTTATAGGAAGGGATAGTGTAATATTTATAGGAAGGGATAGTGTTGGGGTTACATGAAACGGTAAGTATTGGGGATACTGGATAGATTAGTGTTGGGGTTGTAGGGAGGGCTACTGTTGGGGTTACAGAATGGGTTAGTGTTGGGGTCATAGGAAGGATCAGTGTTGGGGTTACATGAAAGGTTAATATTTTAGGGTTTCAGTGACGGCCAAGCTGGCCATACACTATAGATTTTGATTGTTTCTCAGTACATTCAGCGACATCACGGATAAATGTCAGAAGCGCTTCAACATTTAGTTTGATTTTAGCATCACGTTAATCATCCAAAATGTGTTCAAGCGACAAAACTCTTCCCTTTCAAAATGTCTGATTACTGCAGTCAAAGCACAAACAGCCAATCAGTTCCTGTGCTGACATTAGGCTTGCTGATAGGAGGAGAGAGCGGAGTGACAGAGAGATGAGCTCATCACTGCTCCGCTTCTCCTTTCACTGTCCAATCACAGGCTGGGGGCGGGTCCATAATGAGTTGAATGATGCTTGCCATCCGACCGAGGACATCTAGTGGAAAAAGACGAGTACTGCAGGGGATATCTCTGGATCGAAGGTGACTATTGCAGCATAAAATCGATGTTTTATACTGAGCGGTCTATTTGTTTTTACCTCGTTATATACGGCTGCAGTTCTTCCTAAACACTTGTAGCATTTCCGCGGCACCCCAGGTGAACCTAGAATTCTCCCATTGGCAAACGCTCGCCCACCTGTCGTTCAGGGAGAGAGACATCCCCCCACCTATATCCGCCCTGAGCCACCCAATCCGTCTCATGATAAGTCAGCGGCGGCGATGTTTGTTGTTGTTAAATCATCTTCCACAATAAGTCCCCCCCGTCAATTATTCTCAGAGATGGATAAGCGGGTGACACCATCAGACCCCCCCGATCGTCGAAATCTTGAGGTTGTATCATTGTTCGCCGTTCCAATCCGTCACCCCCGTCCTTCCTCCGCCGCGTTTCTTGTCTGCGCGCAGGTCGCCGGTCTCGGGTTCAGGGATAGGTCCACTTGTTGTTTGTCGTTTCCCCATTGTTCTGCCCAGCAAGGAGTGGAGGAGGGGGGGCGTTCAGAATTGTTCTGATTGCGGCACTTGAAGAAAATAAGGAGCGCTCATTGTGCACCGCGAACTGAAAACCGCCTCCAGCTTTGTTTATACAAACCGATTGCCGGGATGAAGAGGAGCTGAATCAGAGGGAGAACAAAGGAGGAAGAGGACCGGACGAAAGAGCTGCCAATGGGAAAGGAGGTCGAAGGATCCGCATCGGGGTGTAAGGACTGCCTAACCTTCAATAAAGAGGGGGGGGGGGGGACAAATCGGATATAACGAGAGGAATAAAAAAGAAAAAAAAAAAAAATAAACTTTGTAGCATAAAAAACAATTCTTTGAACCTTGGAAACTTCCCTGAACTGCAAATTGCCTAAATTGTAGCAGAATAATAACTGTAATCCGGCATTCTGACTTTGAAGGGAAGGTGTGTGGGTACAAATGCGAGCGCGGCCATTGCCAACTTCAGGCAGAGCTGACAGTTCAGACTTCACTGGCTGCATGCTTTTCCTGGGTCATTTTGTTTACTAGGTTGAGTGGCAGCCCTCTAAAAAAAAATTATTTTGGTGAAGTTGCCTTCTGTATCTTTAGGCCTCGTGCACACGGGACATTTTTTCTGGCCAATGGAATGAATGAATGCCCAAACGCTTGACACGCCTAAATACGCCGAAATGCATTTGTGGACAGAGGCGTCCCTAGGGTTGGTGTCACCCGGTGCGGTAACACTTGGTGACACCCCCTCCGACGATCCCCGCAGAATGGATCGGATCTGCGGATTGAGCATAATGGATGGGACTCCAATCCATTATATTCCCCAATCCACAGATCTGCACCATCCTGCGGGGATCGTCGGCTTGCTTTACAACTGATGGCTGTATGGCCAGCTTGGCCGTCACTGAAACCATAACATATTAACCTTTCATGTAACCCCAACACTGATCCTTCCTATGACCCCAACAGCAGCCCATTCTGTAACCCCAACAGCAGCCCTCCCTACGACCTCAACACTAATCTATCCGGTATCCCCAATACTTACCATTTCATGTAACCCCAACACTGATCCTTCCTATGACCCCAACATTAACCCATTCTGTAACCCCAACAGCAGCCCTCCCTACGACCTCAACACTAATCTATCCGGTATCCCCAATATTTACCATTTCATGTAACCCCAACACTGATCCTTCCTATGACCCCAACAGCAGCCCATTCTGTAACCCCAACAGTAGCCCTCCCTACAACCCCAACACTAATCATTCCAGGATCCCCAATACTTACCGTTTCATGTAACCCCAACACTATCCCTTCCTATAACCTATCCTGGATCTCCAACACTAACCAACCCTGTAACCTCAAAACTGATTGTTCTTGGAACCCCAACACTAATCCTGCCTGTAACCCCAACACCAACCTTACCTGTAACCCCAACACTAATCCTCCCTGTAACCCCAACACCAACCTTACCTGTAACCCCAACACTAGCCCTTCTTGGAACCCCAACAGTAATCTTCCCTGTAACCCCGACAGTGACAACTTTACATGTTGTAAACATGCCAACATTTAAAACTCACCTTTTCTTGGAGCGGGTCCGGTGTCACCCCGTATAGGTTGCATGCTGACGATCCCTGCAGGATGGATCGGATCTGTGGATTGAGCATAATGAATCGGAGTCTGATCCATCATCCTCCCCAATCCGCATATCCCATCCATCCTTTGGGGATTGTCGGCTGGCTTTACAACTTACCTTTTGGTGGAGCGGGTCTGGTGTCACTCCGTATAGGTTGCATGCCGACGATCTCCGCAGGATGGACCGGATCTGCGGATTGGGGAGCATAATGGTTTGGACTCCGATCCATTATGCTCAATCCGCAGACCCGATCCATCCTGCGGGGATCGTCGGCTTTCTTTACAACATAGCTTTTCTTGGAGCTGGTCCGGTGTCACCCTGTATAGGTTGCATGCTGACGATCCCCGCAGGATTAAGCTGCTTTGTCATATATATATATATATATATATAATGTATTTATTTATTTTATATATGCAAATAGATTTAATTGAATACTTAATATGCTATGTCTATACTGTGTGTGTATATATATATATATGTATTATATATATAAACTAGCTACAGTATATGCTAAATATTATATGCTCTGTTATATATATAATAAATATTAAATAAATAAATGTTATATTTACTATATCTAATTTATATACTGTAATATACTTTCTTATAATACAATAATATATTTGAATACATATATATATATATATATATATATATATATATATATATATACATTTTTTATATATAAAATATGATGCAAATAGATTTAATTGAATGTTTAATATGCTTTGTATATACAGTAATGTGTGTGCATATGTATGTATATATATATATATAAAATAATTATTATTATTGTATTATAATAAATTGATTTATGCAACGTCATTGATAATAATAATAATAATATTATATTTGAATACTAATTAATTTTATATATATATATACATTCATTTTTTTATATCAAAAATATATATTTTATCAAATATGCAAATAGATTTAATTGAATATTTAGTCTGCTTTGTATATACTGTGTGTGTATATACAGTATATGTATATATATATATATTTATTATTATTGTATTATAATAAATTGATTTATGTAACGTCATTGATAATAATACAAAAATATTGTATTTGAATACTAATTTTTATTTATTTATATATATATATAGATGTGTGTATGATGCAGATTTCCCTATTCCTGATATAATTGATCTCCTGCCCTTTCCCTCTCCAGCAATAAATCTCCTCTAATAAGGGGTAACCTTTGTAATAAGCTCTCTCCTCCCAGCACACAACTCTCGGGGGGTCTCTGGGGGTCTCTGACATATGAAATCCTTTGCAAGCTTACAGCTTTTCCACCTCTTCACATTGAAGTGATGGCGGTGTGTGGTTCTCCGCGCTGCGTCAGCATCCTCCATGAACCGCGCTGTTTCCACCGCCTCCTGTCGACCATTCTCAAAAGGAAAACATTTTCTGAAAGTTGATACTTGGCTTGTCCAATAAAGCTCCGTAATGATCCCCAAACTCCGGGTCGCCGGTGCCAGCGCTGTGGATCCCCGCTCTATGGAACCCCGCTCTATGGATCCCCGCTCTATGGAACCCCCGCTCTATGGATCCCCGCTCTATGGATCCCCGCGCTATGGATCCCCGCACTATGGATCCCCGCTCTAAGAATCCCCGCTCTATGGATCCTCGCTCTATGGATCTCCGCTCTATGGATCCCCGCGCTATGGATCCCCGCGCTATGGATCCCCGCTCTATGGACCCCCGCTCTATGGACCCCCGCTCTATGGATCCCCCCCGCTCTATGGATCCCCGCTCTATGAATCCTCGCTCTATGGATCCCCACTCTATGGATCCCCCCCTCTATGGATCCTCGCTCTATGGATCCCCCGCTCTATGGATCCCCCCGCTCTATGGATCCCCGCTCTATGGATCCCCCGCTCTATGGATCCCCGCTCTATGGATCCCCGCTCTATGGATCCCCTGCTCTATGGATCCCCCGCTCTATGGATCCCCGCTCTATGGATCCCCCGCTCTATGGATCCCCCGCTCTATGGATCCCCCGCTCTATGGATCCCCGCTCTATGGATCCCCC